GTGGCTCAGTAGAATAAGCGCTTGCCTGGCAAGCACAAGGGCCTGAGTTCAACCCCTGGTTCCAACAAAAAAAAAGCAGTCAGGCTCAGGATGCTGTGGTTTGATCCCCACATCCTCAAGCCAAATCAGACCTGCCCTGAAGGCATCATGAGGTAGCCAAAAAAAAAAAAAAAAAATCTACAAGTCTCTTGGTGGAGTTTTTGGGGTCTTCTATGTAGAGTATTATATCATCTACAAATAATGATATTTTTTTCTTATCATTATTCCTTTTATTTCTCTCTTGTCTATAATTACTCTAGGTAATGTTTCCAAAACTGTATTGAATAGGAGTGTAGACAGTAGACATCCTTGTGTTGTTGCTGATTGTAAAGTGAAGGCATCCAGTTGTTGACCATTGAAATGGCTTTTATCAGTTTCAGATATAGACCATTTATTCCAATTATCTGTGGGTTTTTTTTGTTTTTTTTTTATTTTAGGGAAGGGTCTACAGTGTGTTCAGGGTCTGTTTACAGCCTCACAGGAGCTGGGATTACAGGCATGCGTTACCACACCTGGTCTCGATTGCAATCTCAGCGTGCCCCGGGGGTGGGGCCAGCAAGGCAGGCCCAGGGTTTGAACCCCAGGCCCCTGTGCCTGCTTGCAGGCACTTTAATCCGCTGAGCTATTTGGCTGGCCCTGTGGGGTTTTTTTTTAATCAAGAATAAGTATTGGACTTTTTCAAAGCATTTTCTGCATCTATTGAGATGATCATGTGGTTTTTGTCTTTGGCTCTATTGATGTGGTTTATTACATTTATGGATTTGTATATGTTGAACCATCCTTGCATTCCTGGGATGAATCCCACTTAGTTGTGATGTATAATTTTCTTGATGATTTGCCGCATTCTGTTTATACTAGTACTTTATGAAATTAAAAAAAACCCCAAAACTATTTATTTGATACAGTGTCTCACTGTGCAGCTCAGACTCGCAGTGATCCTCCTATCTCAGCCTCCCCAGCACTGGGATTATAGCCGTGCACCACCACGTCCAGTTTCAGTGGCCAGCTCAGTACGGCATAGTGCATGGATGACGCGGCATGTGGTACCGGGATTGATCCCAGGTCTTTGCACTTGCCAGGTAGGCACTTAGACTACTGAGCCATGTCCCCATCCCCTTATCTAGAATTTTCGCATCTATGTTCATTAGGAACCATTCTTGCATTCCTGGTTGACCTGTAGTTCTTTTTTTAGTTGGATCTTTCTCTGGTTTTTGGTATCAGAATAATGCTTGCCTCCAGAAATGAGTTTGGGAGAATTTCTTTCCTTTCAAATTTCATTAAAGTGATTGAGGAAAGGGCTAGTGAGATGGCTCAGTGGTCTAAAGCACCTACTCAGAACAAGCTCAACAAAGCACAGGGACCACGGTTTGATCCCCCAGCACCACGTGCCAGCCAGCCCCGCCCCCTAGTGGGCTGAGCTGCCCCCCCCACATAAATAAAATTTAAAAAAATAAATTTATGTATTTATTTGAAAAAAAAATAAAGTGATTGAGGAAAGTAGTCATTAAGTTTTCTCTAAATTTCTTTTTTTCCAAAATTTTATTGATAAACAGCAATGAGACAGTTTCAAATCAAATCGGAAGTACAGTTTCAACAAATAACACACTGCATATATTCTTCTTAGTGGTTAATTGCTGTACAAGATGCGGACTTGAGATCCTATTTACAAACACCGTTAGAATAAATCATTCTATTCATTAAGAGAATGCAATTATATATCTATTCTAACCACTTTGAATACACAGATACAAAATGGACATTCATCTGTATACCCTATTTTTTCGAAGTTCGTTATTGAATATTATAGGTGTGTAAACTCAGTTCTCTAAATTTCTTGCACAGTTCAGCTGTCAGTCCATCAGGACCTCAGAATTTCTTTGTTGGTAGGTTTTTGATTACATTTTCAATTTTGTTTCCTGTTACTGGGTCATTCAGAGTTTGTCTATCTCTTGACTCAGCTCTGGCATTTCATATGTATCTTGAAAACTATCCATTCCCTCTGTTTTCTGTCCTGTAAGAGTAAAAATTTTGAAAGTAGGAACTGAATTTCTATAGGGTCTGTAGTGATTTTACCCTTTTCATTCCTTGTTGCATGAATTTGTGTCTTTTCTTTCCTTTTTTTGATAAGGTTTGCTAAGGGGTTATCAATTTTATTTATTGTGTCAAAGAATCAACTATTTGATTCATTTGTTCTTTGTATTGTTTATTTTTTTTGTCTGCATTGAATTAATTTCTGCTCTAATGTTTATAATTTCCTATCTTCTTTGAAGTTTGTGCTTGACTTGCTCTTCTTTTTCTAGAAGTTTGAGGTGCAGCATAAGAGTGTTCATCGGGGCTTGTTCTGTTTTCCTAATGTGCGAATTTACCTCTATAAGTTTCCTTCTTAAGACAGCTTTCATTGTATCGCACTGGTTCTGGTAAATTGTATCTATATTTTCATTTGATTGTGAATATTTTTAATTTCTTCTTTAATTTCATCTGTGACCCACTGGTTTTTTAGGAAGTTGTTATTTAATTTCCAGGTGTTTATGGTGTTTTTGTAGTTTCTGTTGTCAGTACATTCCAGTTTCATTGCACTATAGTCAGATAGTATGCATGGGATAATTTCAGTTCCTTTGCATTTACTTAAGCATGCTCTGCATGCTAGTATATGGTCTGTTTTGGAGAATGTCCCGTGTGCAGCTGAGAAGAATGTATTCTGTTGTTTCTGGGTGAAACACTCTGTAAAGGTCTACTAAGTCCATTTCTTCACAGATTTGGTCTATTTTTGTTACTTTTTTTTTTTTTTTTTTTTTTTTTTTTTTCCTAGTTGATCTTTTTGTGAAAGTGATGTATTAAAGTCTTCCATTATTATTGCTTATTTGATTTTTCATGTCTATTAAAATTTGTCTTATGTAGGTGGGTGCCCCTGCATTGAGTGTATATATATATTTATAATTTGTGTCTCTTCCTCTTGCAGTTTTCCCTTAACAAGTATGTAGTGACCTTCTTTATCTCTTTGAATGGTTTTTGGTTTGAACTTGGTATTGTTGGCAGCCAGGATAGCTACCTCTTCTTTTTTCTGATTTCCTGTGGCATGGAAAATTGTTTTCCATCGTTTGACTTTCAGTCTGTGAATTTCCTTTTAAATGTATTTCTTATATACAGCCAATTGTTGGATTTTGTTTCTTAATGCACTTTTTAACAGTCTGTTTCTTTTGGTTGGTGAATTGAGGCTGTTTATATTGATGGTTATAACTTATATTTATGGGCTTGCCTTTGTCATGTTATTATTCTGTTATGTCTTCTGTACTTTATCCCTCTTTTTAATTACTTGCTTTTTTTTTATTGTTGTTGTTTTTTTTTTTAATTTTTATTTATTTGTGTGTGTGTTTGTGTGTGTGTGTGTGGCCAGCTCAGCCCACCAGGGGGCGGGGATGGCTGGCATGGGGTGCTGGGGGATTGAACCGCGGTCCCTGTGCTTCGCTAAGCTTGTTCTAAATAGGTGCTTTAGACCACTGAGCCATCTCACCAGCCCCTTGTTGTTGTTCTTGAAGGATGTGGTTGTTTCTGTCTCTAGAATATCAGTCATTACTCCTTGTAAGGTTGATTTCATGGCCATGATTGTCTTCAGTTGTTCTTTGTCATGGAAAAGTCTTACCTTGCCATGGAGTTGATAGTTTTGCAGGCTACACCCATCTGGGTTGGAAGTTATTTTCTTTCAGGACCTGAAATACTTCACTCCAAACTCTCCTTTTATTTTAAATTTTGTATTTATTAATTTAGTACAGGATCTTGTCACACAGCTCATACTCATAGTGATCCTCCTGTTTTCATTCAGCCTCCCAAGCACTGGGATTACAGGTACGCGCCACCATGCCCAGTCTGATTGGCCATCTCAGTGTGCCCTGGGGGTGGGACTGGCATCCCACCAGGGATCAAACCTGGTCCCTGCACCTGCCTAAGCAGTTTGAAGCTCTTCTTGATTTGATAGTTTGTGTTTAGAGATCTGCTGAGACTGATGGGCTTTCAATTGTAGGTTAATTCTGCTCACAGGTTTTAGTATTTTATTCTTTTGCTGAATCTCTGGGATCTTTTTTTTTTTTTTTTCTTTTTTGCGTAACTGGGAATTGAACTCAGTCCCTTGCACTTGCCAGACAAATGCTTGTTCTACTAAGCCATCTCCCCAGCCCCATCTGTGATCTTTATTATGTGTCTAGGTGTAGATTTGTTTTGATTATGCCTATTTGGAGTTCTGTATGCCTCACTTATGTCAGATATTTTTCTCATGCTTGGGAAATTTTCTGTAATTACTTCTGCAAGTAGTCTTTTTTATATCATTTGTGCTGACTCCTGCCATTTTGTTGACACCTATTATTATTATTATTATTATTTTGCATTTGCTCCTGCCTTTTGGCATTTTTGAAGGTGCCCATGATTACCTGGATCAGCAGCAGTGGGACAGCAGTGGAATATGGGTCAGTAAGGTTCCTGCTACAGTGGGGGTGCAGGGTAGGACTCACCAAGTCTCTCACTCTGGTATAGATGACTGGCCAATGCTCAGCAAAGCTTTTGTGTGGGTGGTGGGTGTGGGCCTGATTTATTTGTAGTCCTTCTAAGTTTTCAGATGGTTGGATTGGGCACCAGCCCAGCCTCTGCACCTATGTGCTGGGGCCCACAGGTTGCAGCTCACCAGAATCCCGTGGGCCATCCAGAGTCTGCCTAAGTTCCCCAGTGGTGTTATGGGGCACCAGTGCAAGCTCCATGCCTGTGTGCTGGGTCACATAGGTCACAGCTCACCAGAAACCTGTGGGCTGTCCAGAGTCTGCCTAAATTCTCAAATGGTGGCAACAGGCACTTATAACTATTCAAGTAAACAGTTCTTTATTTTAAATTGCTCCTTGTAAAATGGAGAAATAGGAAAAACTCTACCCGCTGTTTTTCCGTTATATGACCACATATTCCTTATATTTCTGTTTCAGTGTCCCACCCAAAAAACAGCTATTCAAGCAGATCACGGTGTAACTCAGTTATATCTGTGTCCTTGAGTGGCCCAAGTGATGCCTCTGCTGTTTCGTTTTCCACCTGTGCCTCTGCTTTCAGCCTGACAGGTGCTAACAAGAGAAATTCTGTATCAGAAGCTCCTGCAACCCCAGCAAACTCCAGCAGACAGCCCTGCCAGCCTCATCAGGAGGTAATTTAGCTTTCACACTAAAAATGTGAGAGAGAAAAGGCTGTCAAAGTTTAAGTACTAATAGCCCAATGTATGTATGATGTATTTATATGTATGTATATACATTAATTAGCACATACACATTTATAGCTAATTTTGAGTAGCATGCTATTACATATTTTAAGTGACTTATGTTCCATAGAGAATGATACTCCTTTAATAACATAGATTACCTGGAAAATTAATGAGTAGAGATGGGCCTAGTGGTGCATGCCTGTAATTCCAGCGTTCAGGAAGCTGAGGCAGGTGGATCTTTGGGAGTTCAAGACTAGCTACAGAGTGAGCTCAAGGCCAGCCTGAGCTCCATAGCGAAACCCTGTCTCGAAAAAGACAACAAATAAACAAACAGGAATTTTTAATATATTGGCCTTCTAGCAACCTCTGCTTATTAAAATTCTGGTCTTATATCTGGTCTTTTGCTGTTATGTAATCATGACTGTTTAAACCAGTAAGTAATGTATCTAAGAAGATCAAAGCAACCAAATATGGCAGGAGAAATGGCTCAATAGAATAAGCATGGGGCTGAGTTCAATCCCTGGTTCTGCCAAAAAAAAAAAAAAAAAAAAAAGCACCCATATAATCTTGTAAACATTTCATATGATACTCCAGTGCACCAGACAGCTTATACTTTTTTTTTTTTTTTTTTTTTTTTTTTTTTTCTGCAAAGCTTTATTCCGGAGGGGCTCAGTCCTTCTTGGCAGCTGCCTTCCTCATGGCGGCCAGCACGTTGCTCAGCTCCTCACGCTTCCTCTTGGCGCGGATGTGCGTCCCCACTCTTTTCTTGATGAACTTGAGGGCGCGCTTGTCCTTGGAGACCTTGAGCAGCTCCATGGCGCACCGCTCATAGGGGGCGAAGCCGCACACTTCCCGGATCATGTCCCGCACGAACTTGGTGTGTTTGGTGAGACGTCCGCGGCGGCGGCTGTGCCTCGGTTTGCTCACATTCTTAGTCACCTTGTGGCCCTTGTTGAGGCCCACGGCCATGGGATAGCGGAGGGCCATGGCTACTCTTTTTCAATGGTTGCTGTCCAGCTTAGACTTCTTGTAGCCAAGAACTGCTGATTTTCTTCTAGTGCCACTAATATTTAGGTTGTATTGCATGGTAATTAGTCACATTGGGAGTCATGTGCCCATGTCAAGGTAGACAAACGGTGCAAGTGACCAGTTTACCACTGTGCATCTGAAAGTGTAGCCTCTTCAGAAGCTCAATGTCATACGTCAGGGGAAGAAAAAGTGCATCTTGTTGGGGTAGAGAGCAAACTAAAAAGTAGAATAACCAACCTTTAATTTATTTTCTTTGTTTTGGAGATTAACAACTTTACAAATCAGCACTGTCAGTATTTCTTTAGGACCGTTTGGCATTGGAATTGAAGGACAAAGAATTTCCATAAGCCGTGTGCTTTTTGGAATGTAATGTGCCATGTACTAAATGTCACAGAAGCATGGTTTAACCTATGGTTCATGATCTATTCCAAAGCAGGCCATAATGCTGCTTATTTTATTTTTTCACATCTGTAATCTCAGCACTCAGGAGGCTGAGACAGGAAGATTGTTGAGAATTTAAGACCAATCTAGGCTACAGAGTGAGTTCACTTTTTTTTTTTTTTTGTACTGGGGATTGAACTCAGGACCTTGTGCTTGCCAGGCAAGCGCTTATTCTAAACTATCTCCCCAGCCCTAAAATGAGCTCAAGGCCAGCCTAAACTTTATCTCAAAAAAACAAAAACAAAAACAAAAAAAAGCTCCTGAGAGGGAGAAGGGGTCCTGAATGGTTGTCGACATGCCCAATTCTCTAAGGAAGTTTCATAAAGCAAAACCGTGAGGCAGATAAAATGTGGATCAAAATGATGATCAACCAGTAAGATTGCAAGGATGGTCATTTAAATAATATTGACCCTTGGGGCTGGTGAGATGGCTCAGTGGTCTAAAGCACCTACTTAGAACAAGTTTAACAAAGCCCAGGGACCACGGTTCAATCCCCCAGCACCACATGCCAGCCAGCCTGCCCCCTGGTGGGCTGAGCTGGCCACACACACACACACATAAATAAATAAATAAAATTTTTAAAATAAATAAATAAATAATATTGACCCAATAGTAGCAAAGGCATATGGGTGACACCATTAACCTTGGTGGATAATCTCCGTCTGTCTGTCTGTCTGTCTGTCTGTGTCTCTCTCTCTGTGTCTGTGTCTCTGTCTCTCTGTCTCTGTATTGTGTTACTGGGGATAGAACTTGGAACCTTATTATTTGAAATGTTTCATTATCTTTATAAATGCCTTATGAGCTACATGGTTCAGACATACAAGATATATGCCCAATTAAGAGCTTATAACAATCCAAAGAATTTTTTTGTCTTCTATATTAGCTTTTTTCCTGTACTTATCTAAAGAGCAATAAGCTCATTTTCAGGGGAGGAAGAACTTAGGAGAAAAGGCATAGAAAGATTAGCGGAAAATGCATTAAGTGTGATAAAGTATGCTTTCAGAGTACTCCATAGACTAAAGTGAGACCAGCCAGAGTACCTTGAACATTGTATTCTTCTATCCATAGGTATTGTCGGGGAACAGACGAGGACAAGGTAATAAGCCACAAGGCGAGAAGTCCAGTGACCTTACGAACCAAGGACGATATGACAGTGTGGGTCATTACAGAAATAGCTCATGGTATTCATCTGGTTCCAGGTATCAGAGTGCTCCATCTCAGGTACCAGGAAACACTAGTGAACAGGGCCAGGCTCACTCTGCAGGGACCAATGGAACTGGAGCCACCATAGAGCCTAGCCCATCTAAACCCTCTTTCATAAAGGGGCTCCCTCAGCGCAAACCTAGAACCTCTCAACCCAGAGTTGTGAACTCTTGAAATTCGTCTCTTCTCTACCCCATACAATTCAACATGATAAGTGGACTTTAGGAAATATATAGTTAGGTTTAATAACAAAAAGAAGTTTATGCATATCACTTTTGTGCTATTCTAAATTTTTTTTATTTTTTTTTCCCTCTTATTTCTTTGTTTTTGGAGGGGAAGGTGTTTTTTCCCTTAATTTTTTTCGGTGATTGATCTTTCCTCCCAGGAATCGGGGGTAGCTGTCGCCAGGTTTCCTATGAGTAAGCAGCACTGTGCCAGGTCTTCCTCTGTCTAAGGAGGCCTGACCCTGCAAGCCGTACTACCAAGGCCAGCTCAGGAGGAGGGTCAGAGACAGACTTGCCATCTTTTCAGTATAAGCAGAAGCCATGGATGCCTCCCTGGTATCCTCTAAACAATAATTTGACCAGGAAGGGATTCTCTATTATAGTAGATTAGCCAAAAAGAGAAATGTCAGTTGGTGAAAAAGAGAACACAAGAAAACTGGACAATCTGCTTCTGTCCCAGAATGTGCCTGAGATATGATACTTTATCAGGCTTTCAGCTCCCTGCTTGGCATCATAGCTCATTTTGTAGCTCTTCAAAATGCCCAGAGCCTTGTGTCCTGTTATCTTATGCCAACCTTAGGGTACAAACCACTCTAAGGAAGACTATAGGAAAGTTAATATTCAGTTAAAATGTTTTAAAAGTTATAAAAAATACTTTTTATTCAGTGTTTAGAGATTTTTGTTATTGTTTTCCTCCTTTCCTGAATCCTGTTCTTTGCCTGAACCAAATTTATAGCAATATAATTAGTGTTAATCTGTTACCCATCAGAAATTGCTGCAGTCAATCTTTATAGATGAATAAATAAAAATAAATATAAATATTCTCATGTTTGCTTCACAGCAGCAAGTAACTTCATTTCATTATCTGTTTTTCTTTGGGTCTCATGGAGTACAAGTCAATTGGACTACTTGTGCTGTTCTTAAATGAGGGTCTCTGATTCCCAAACCAGTTGTCCACTGATGGTTGGCTTCAGGATCAAACAAAGATGTGAAAGCTAGCATGAACAAATGCAGCTCTTTAAAGATCTGTAGGGTAGAGAATAGTTCTCCCTAGCAAAGGAAAACTTACCAGTTAGAAAAACCACAGCTGCTAACCATTCCACCAAAGTGATATTGGCAACCCCCTCCCCCATCCCTTGACAAAAGTAAGAAATGTAATAATGTAATTGAGCTCCTACGTGTTGCAGGCGCCACTGGTGCGAGACTCTCCCACCATAATGTGCCCTCACCTTCCTTGATTTAATAGCAGCTGAACTGTCCATGCAGTGTGTGTTCTGAGTTGCACTTGTGCACAATTAGGCTGCTTCTTTGGCTGAAGCTGAGCTACCAGGGATCTGGTTGATTGAACACAGACAGACTGACTACTGCTTATTGGTAAAGAAGCCAATAGTCAACGAATGTTAGGAAAGCCATTTTCTGAGGAGCGATTTGTCTCATTTTGGGGGATTTGTCCAACACAATCAGCCTGCACACAGGTGAGGAAAAAGTCCTGCTATCCTGACACTTGCGTATGATACTTCAAAGAAAATTCAGAGATTGAAGTGAAAGTGAAGGATTAAGTCTATCCCTGCTTGGAGGCAAGAATATGTACTGCCCAACTCAATGGGAAGTAACATACTTATCAAAAGTGCCTTGGAAGTTGAAATAAAAATGCTCTTTAAAAAAACTTTCAAGTTTTCATGACTGTAAAAATCTGACGTCATTTTTTTTTAACTATGTTCTTTTTAAATACACTCAGTGTATGTAATGCTCATGGAAAACACAATGCAAAAATGAGAGATTGTTTTTAAGTGGTTCTCTTTAAGCCCATCAATTACTTTTCACTTTGTCTCATAATCTTGTGATCAGAAAATCAGGGACTCAACTGAGGTTGAGGATTTCACAGCTGAGATTCTCATGTCCTCGGTTTGCACTGAACTCAGAGGGTTTGGGGCAAAATATTGGCTATCCTCTTAGTCCACTCATCTGTATTTCGGTCTCCAAACCTTAGTTTTTAAGCATCCAGTAGAGTAGTTTAATAACATGAAAGAGTAGTGGAGGCAGTAAGCGTAACAGTACTATTATATCTTAGTACTAAGGTTCATATTTATCTTATCTTACTATCCTATCACTACTATCTAGTCTGAAGAAGAAACACCCTACCTAAAGAAAGGAACTGTTATTTTCTAATGAACGTCAGTATTCTAATATTTAAATTCTTACAGAATGTTAAGAACAATTTTATTTTTATACGTAAATTAAAGCCAACCTAACATTGCAACATGACAATCATGATGCCATTTTGTGACATACTTATTCATTTTGACATAACATAGCCCTTTTAGCTAATACATCTATCAAATACCTAAGAAACTTTGATCTAATTTTGTCATCCTTTAATAGGATATACATTACAAAGTTTTGTTAAAGGCAGAGACCAGCCTGGTAGCTGAGTGGAGTAAAGCGCCTGAGTCAGGAAGAAGGATGAGGAGCCAAATCTGGATGTTGCTGGCTGGATCCAGCCTGGAGACAGCAGCAGGGACATCCCAGGGTGTGAAAGGTTACGCCTCAGATCTAAAGCATCAACCCAAAACGTTAGATTTTATCTCAGTCATGTCATGCACATTGCTATTTCTGAATGTCCATCTCTCTGTATTGTGCAGAGCTGATTTTTAGCATTCTACCTACCTTAGCTCACAGCTTGGCCTTCTTCCTGCCACTCTCACAGCCACTCGTCCTCAAGCCAGTCCCTTCTTGGAATTATTAAAACGTGAGTTCAGCCCTGGGTCAGTCCTCTTGTGGAGAGCTATCATTGTGGCTGGACTCAGGTTACCTTGGTGCTGCATAACTACAAGTATGCCTTAGTGCCTTTATTCTTACTGTGGGTTGCACTGCAAATGGTAGAGTGGAATTAACTCACAAAAATTCCAGCAGCTTTTTGTAGGGTGACAAAAATCAACTTCATTGGCTGTGCAAAGGACCAGGAAAGGCTTCCTGTGTGGAGGAGCACTTGGTATTTGGTGCTCCAAGAGGGAGAGGGTGCTCCTGCTACTGTTTACACAATGAAGGGGTTTGAGGGGATGAAATTGAAGAATGTGACCTGGACCTGAGCTGTGTGCCCTGGGCTGCCAGCCAGACTCCACAGGATCATGGAACTCTGAGAGCAGATCCTGTTTGTAGTTCTTTACAATGTACCTAGTTTTTTGGTACTGAATGAATTTTAGAAAAACCTTATTTGTTTATCGAATACAGGGGTCTCACTACAAGTTCAGAGTCATAGTAATACACCTGCCTCACCCTCCCCAGTGCTATTAGAGGGGTGCACTGCCATGCCCATATCCCAGCCCAGCATGGCTTGTGGTACTGGAGATCAGACCCAGGTCTTGTGCTTGCCAGGCAAGCACTTAGACCACTGAGCTGTCTCCCCAGCCCATTTCTGTTTTTAGAGCCAAAGCTGATCATGTAGATCACGTTTGCCTTGAAGTTTTTATTTCACTGTCACTGGTCTCAAACTTGTGATGATCCTCCTGCATCAGCTTCACTTGTGCTGGCTCACAGTCTGCAGTACCAAACTGTCTTTGCTGAAGTAATAGGTTGGGTTATAGGTCTTGATAGTTTACTTTTTTAAAGAAATATCTGATAGGGGCTGGTGAGATGGCTCAGTGGTCTAAAGCACCTACTTAGAACAAGCTAAGCTCAAGCAAAGCACAGAGACCTTGGTTCAATCCCCCAGCACCACATGCTGGCCCGCCCGCCCCCTGGTGGGCTGAGCTGG